GATATCCTACCACATTCACACAACGCCATCTAGTCCCAAACTAAGCAGAGCTTGTACTATGGGTACTAGACAACTGATATAAATACATATATACTTTTTTTTGTATTTACATACATATTATACATAAGTTCATACACACAAATGTTTTACTTGTTGAGGTTTATTGATTAATGGTAAATTCGTTAATAATAACGAACATATAAAATGTATAAAAATATCATCATCATCATCATCAACAGCCATTACTAGTCCACTGCTGGACATAGGCCTCTCCTTAGAAAGGAGGGTTTGGCCTACTATACCACGCTGGCCAGACGGGTTGGTATAGGGTTTGTTTCAAGTTTTCCTTCTTTTTGCAGTGCTGTTGTCCTGCGTAGTTTGTTCCCTTAGTCGCCTCTTACGACACCCACGGGATGAATAGGGGTGATGATATTCCGTATTCTTAATCCGTCACCACACGGATATAAAAATATAAACTATTTAAATTACAAATACACCCGGCTCAGAGATCTAACTGTCCATCATTTATTTTTGACCATTCAGTAGATTTATACAAAAACTCCTCTACTCTCAATAGCCTCTGTTTAGCCCTCAATCACTTGCCTATAGCCAAGGAAAGAATCAATAGCTCATTAAACATTTCTATTTAATTAATCAATCTGTCTGATATAAAAGTCAATGTCAATCCATCACTGTCTGTGTACTTCGTCTATTGTTCTATCAATATAAGGGGTATAATTGACGGTTCTGATATGTATTTTATCTCATCAATGATGTTCATACAAAAGAATATTCTGTCTAACCGTTGCCTCATTAAAATTGACATGGATTTTAGTCTTTTGAGAGTCAATTTCATTTGTTGGTAAGGCCCAGATGGCAAAGTAGAGGTAAAACTGTAGGATGGTTATTGTGTGATGCGAAAAAGATTTATAGTTAACTTTGTGTCTCTATGAAATATAAATAGAGATTTACCTACAGCTTTACTCACGTAGCTCTAGCTTGCACAGTTCCTGTGTTTTAATCTAACAATTCATTTGGCTACTGTACCTAAAGGACGCTCCTACCGCATTTTACTGTATTATCTGCAAACTCATACAATCACATTTGTTAACCATTTCCATTTGTACACAGAGGGAATCCTCAACAGACTTCTGCTCAGGTCAGCAGAAACTAAACTATCTGAAAAGCTGACTAACTAACTCACTGATTATTTATAAACGTTGAGTGAGTGATTCGACTATTTTGTCCCCAGGTACAAGCATTGGTGCTCCTCATTTTTTTCTTCTCCTCTGAACTTCCTAACATAGTTCAACCATCTCGTAGTCTTTTATCATTTCTTCGATACGGTCGTGGAATTGACTTCTTTATCCAATATCTTTAAATGTTTTTAAGAAGAGAATCAGGTACGAATATCACTTTCTTTCTCAGTAACTAGACCGATCTACATATGTGTGGTAGTTGGTATATTTTTGTTTTAAATTGTGTAAGTATTTAATATTGTATATACCTAATGTACTATATACCTTTTTAGGTATGTATATGTTATATTTAGTTACTTATGTCTAAGTTTGAGTTGCATATTTTAATTTCAAATGAAATCTTTACAGTTCAACAAACATTTCAATGTAAAAAAATACTTAAAATATTTCTACTACATATTAATGTAAAAAGCTATCATTTTTAAATACATTTTAATTCACCATACATGAACAAACACTTAACTTTAATGAAAATTGATGGATTACCAAAATGAACACATTATAAACCTATTCACTGAGACTAATCTTAATATTGCAGTAATGTTTTTCATATTTCGCTTATTCAATATGAAAAGTTCAACAGAAGAACAATTTTGCAAGGAGGTTGCACAAGGATACAACTGGTTGCGACATCGTCGGTAAATGTCAATAGAAGACGCCACAACCCTTTCTAAGCTTTGTATAGTTTGAAACGATTTTAAAAGCAATATGACAAGTTTTGCTATGATTTCTGATATAACTTGTTTTAGAAACGTTGTAATCATTTTATTGACGGGCCTGTTGGTCTAGTGGTTAGTGACCCTGACTGTTAAATCGGAGGTCGTGGGTTCGATTCCCACCCATCACAAATATTTTGTCATGAGCACGGTCATCGTCTCTGTGTAATTTATCTATAATATGTATGTATTCAAAAATATATAAGTATGTTTATCATCAGTCTGGTTACCATAGTACAGGCTCAGCCTAGTTTGGCATCAGACGGCCGTTTGAGAGATGTGTGTCATATATTATTATTATTGAGTACCTGCTTACTCATTGCAGGTACATTCTAAAGCTTGTATTTTCTCCATTTGTTAATTAATAATAATAATGATGATAATTTACGGGTTTTTTTAATACTCTTCAATCAGTTTTAAATTTACTCTGAACAAACTAAACAGTTTTAACTATCTGTTTTAAAAAAAAGCGAGCGAAGGTAGTGTTGTTAGCAGTAAAATTATTAAAATTTTACCATATTATTTAAAATTTTCTAGTAAATTGTTCTGAATTTGGTATAATATATTAGTAAAGACAGCATAAGAAGGTTTTAGTTCATTTTTAGTTATTTTTTCCTACAAACGGTGGGAAATTATTTGACTTTCCGATATTTCAAGATATATTTCGAAATATAAGAAGCTCTAGCAAAGGTTTATGTGTTTCCATCTTATATTTAAAGAAGGCCACAACAAAATGTTTTGGTTACTGTTTAATTTCATTGAAAGTCACTATTCTGCTCCTAAGTTCCGTAGCATGATTCTAAATAACCTATACCCCTCCTCAAGAATTTGACTTTCAAATGTAAAAAGACTTTTCGAATCAAACCAAATAAAGATTTATGCTTTTAAATATGCATACTTTTCAGCGCAATTTTTGATACAGGTAATAAAAACTATAGGTGTAGACACACATATTAAATATAAACATAAATTAACTAAACACTTTAAATGCGAACATAAATTATAAGCTTTCGGTGTAGCAACCGGATGACATATCACGTTCTGAGCGCATCTTGAGGTCACAGCCCCATCTATTGGCGAAGAATTTGTGACAAGACACAGTTAGTTCGAGCTTATCCTTATGGGGCGTGTGGCGCATAGCAAGAAGGTTTTATATATCCGTTTGTGTTTAATATTGTCCCAACAATCCGAGCAAAGAATTGAAAATGTTGGTTTTATTTTTCTTAACAAGTTGTTAGTGTACAAAAATCTTATAAATGCAATAAACAATACGACAACTGTTCCTTAATGTGTTACGGTTTTAATGAAAGCTGTTCCCGGATTCCTTCTATTTTAGGCGCATCCCGACACACGTTTATATTATTTTTATTATATGAGTGGTCACAAACTAATTGTAAAAACTTTATGCTTGCTAATGGCGGAGTAACACAATTGTAAAAAAAAACTCTAATAAATAAAGAAAGAAATAGACAAAGAATAAACTCAAAACATAGTATCGCGTCTCGGCAAACGTAGTGTATGACGTCCACAGGCCAGGTTTAGTGACGATTTGCGCAAGATGGCTGGCAGGAGCTGGATGCGAGAAGCCCAAAAACGATCTAAGTGGCGTGCAATGGGAGAGGCCCATATCCAATAGACTGCGATAGGCTGATAATGATGATGATGACGTTATCTCCTATCTACTTTTCATCTGATTAGCTATAGACTCGAATGCAATTAATTCGTCGAGTGTCGTACATATTATGTACAAGCAGTATGACAATAATAGCTTAGAATCACATCAGATTTTTAATCATCTCATTTGACATTGACTCTTCTGATCCACTCGCAGACATTTGACATTAAAGTGGCCTTACTATCTGCTAAATGTCATTCCATTTCCTGATATTTTGCTAAATTGTATTAGTATATTTTCAATATTATGTAAAAATGACTCGAGTCTAGCTACACATCGAGAGTTTCTTTTAAATAGTAGTTAATATGAGATTTTAAAAAGCCATTAGTTATACAGTCTTTTTAAATGGAAAAGGAGACCATGTTGGCCTCCAGACGGGTCACAGAAGGGGTAATTTTAGCGCATGTTCATAACGCCCCATCTTAGCGACAGTCATCGTAATCATTATGGCTTGTTCCAACGAGGCCCCCACCGTCCCCCTACTGTTAGCAAATCATGCATTTCTCCGATAGGTGTTCAACGGCCTGCTGTTGTATAATTTGGGATATGTGTGACCTAATGTCATGGGGAGCAGGCCTGGGCTCGGAGGCAACTCTTTCACAGGTAACCCGGACACTCGTACCACCGCCCTGCGAACCCTGTCAGGTCGTGTGGTTGAAGCGTGTCCAGTTCGTGTGCGAGTCTCTTAAGACCATCGGTGCTATAGCACCCAACGACGTCTTCGCAAGCCCGATATGCCGGTAAAGGTGAGCCGGACAACCGCCGCTCACGGACATTACCAGCTCGGAAGAGTCGGAGTCACAAGTGCGTTAAAGACCTTTGAGTGCCTCTGCCAGAATTAGGAGAGGTCCTGCAGTAACCTTACTTCTCGATGTTTTTTTTTGTGATCACTCCAGTCGTTCCAGCATACTGTGTCGTAATATGGTTCTCCCACGGTTAAATTTGGTTTGGTGATAAATTATTGTTTAAAATGGTTAAAAATCAAGCAATCTTTATTTTATCTATAAGAAAATGTTGGTGTAAATGCCTCTACTTATTTGAAGTTTAGTAAACTCAAACTGAAACTCAAACTTTCTTTATTTCATAAAATTTCCAAAATTTTCAAAGTCATAGATAAACACACATAAAAGCAACAATCTCTGTTTTGTCAAATAGTAACCAAATAAATTTAACAAAAATCAAACCCATACAAAATCTATGATATGCCTGTGCCGATCTACAACCACCCGTTTCCAAGGGGTTGAGCCTTATGAAAAGAAAGGGGAAACAAACTCATGGCCACTCTTTTGCAATTCACGGGTAGATACAATGGCACTTTTAAGTATACCACTAGTAGCTTAAAATTCTAACCTGTAAGCATGCACGTGTACTGGACACCCAGTGAGTGGATTATAAAGGAGTAGCACACAAGCCACGACGTCGGCCTGCACAACAGCGCTGGTGATGCTGCCATGAGGAATGAAATGTTTGATCGTTTGCTGCTTGCCCTTCGCTGTCACATTCTGGATTATCTTCAACCCTTTGTGGGATACCTGTAGAGAAAGAAGAAGTAAGTGAAAAGGTGTATTTAATGCCACGTATCGTCCTTCAGACTAATGAGAAAACTGACTTACGAAACGTTATCGTTATCTAAGTAATTTATTTTATTTTGTATGATTTTATCCATATAGAGATAAATGCCAAATAGATTTAATAAGTTGTGCGAATATTAATAGTTATGCTAGTGACGTTTGATAATTTGGATATTACAGAATTTAATAGGTTGATTAAAACAGAAATAGTGTCTTTTTTGTTTTTATTCCGTAGGTTATAACGATTCTGGTTGATACCGAGCATTATAATAGAGGAGCTTTAGAAGGGATTTCGGGATTTACTCGAGCGTGTCACATTAAGATAGGAGGAATACCTTACACCCAGTTGAGTAGGTACTTCCACTATACATGAGCCCTACACATAGGGCGTCTAGGGCAGCCGATGGGCTAGATTGGTAAAAAAAATCGTAGGCCAGAAATACTCGAGCATGTAAGATAAAGGTAAGTTGAATCAATTACATACACAGTAGTGTGTATTTAAAAAAGTCTGACGACTTGATCGTGATATAAAGCAGTAGGAGGGGCACAAAGTTCCAAAAGAAACCCCATAACCCTGACACATGACTTTTATTTTAAAGTTAACAATGCAAGAAATCTTTAATTTTAAATTTCTTAAATTTTTCGAACCTTTATTTGTCACATTTTATAAAAACAAACAAAAAAGGATAAGTCATTTTAAATCTGACGTTCTTATCGTCAGATTTAAAATGTGTTATCATTTTTTGTTTTTTTTTTTGCCCTGCAAAATTATCGTCAGATTATTGGCTAGTATGAGAGGAACATCAAGCTGAACCGTCTGTATAAAAACTAACACGCTCGGGTATTTCGAAAAGGCGATTTTTCGAATTTACAGTTTGCGTTTTCGATAATTCGCTACGAGCTTGTGTCACTTTAAAATCGTCAGAGCTTTCAATGGGAGCATTTGTGGCATTCAAATATTCGATTTCTGCCCCTCACATTTTTGAAAACCTGTAAAAAGTACCGACTCTTGAATCATTCTTAATTATCGTAATGTTTCATTAAAAGAGTAATAATTAAAATATGTTGGTCGGTATGTATGTCAATAAAAGTGAAGTTGGATACGACTCTCAAAAAATCAACATATTTTTCCTTATTGTGTGGTAAATACTTATACCACGCCCAGTTGACGAAATCTGTGGTTCTCACGGTCGTAAGTTGACGAAAATCTGATAAAATTTTTAGTATTAAAAAATTATTGACTAACATTGCTTGTAGTTACGCTTATGTCGGTGTAGTTTTGTGGCTGTGACCCTATCAAATAACAGTGTCATGAATAAAAAGAATCTAGCAGTCGCAGTTATGCTTCGATCATGGTTTTCCATGAGGATACAAAAAAAATCCTATCTTCATTTTCATTTGTTGCATTTTTAATTAAAGAAGGAAATAATAATACGCCAACAAAGTTTAAAAATGATAATTTAAGTTTTCTATAAATTACTTGAAAGCAGAAAGTTTTCTTTTTAATTCAATAAGTTTTAGTGTACAATTTTTATTCAAGAAGGTTTAGAGTAGAGTCCATTCGAGAGAGTAGAGTCATCATTATCATTAACAGCCTTTAGTAGTCCATTACCTAGGCCTCTTTTTAAAAAGAAGGTTTTCGCCAAATAAGAGTAGAGTAATAACTATTTATTATACCTTTTGCAGTAAGAGTCATTAAATTTATATAAAAAAATTACAGAAAAAACCCGATTGCGGAACAAAACCATGCGAAGAGCATAAAGGAATGTAACATAAATACATTGCGGTCTCTCTCACTCCCACAGGTGTCCATTATAGAGGAAATGCAGCGAAAGTTATACGGCGCGACGTTCTAATTGATTTATTTGTCGGCACGCCACTTTGTATTGAGTATTGCGTAATTTCCATCTACCTACATGTCAGATGTGCTGATAATGTAATTGGCACTTACGTCACAATGTTAAATATTTTTGTGACATTTCCGACTGTTCGTTGACCTCGATAGTACTACAAAGAGAGCTTTTTTGTTAACTTACCTGTTTCATCAACAGTTTATAATTTGAGAAGCACGTATTTTATTTCAAAATACTTTTTTACTGAAAAGACGAAGCGAGCGAATAGAGGCAATCATATATGTGCCGAATATATTTTTTTTTGTAAGAGGAAGCAAACGGCGGGTCGCCTTATGATAAGTGACTATCGCCGCCCATGGATACTTTTTTACTTTTTTTTTTTTTTTTTTTTACTTTTTTTTTTTAAGTGAAATTTTTTCAGGCCCAAATTTATTTTTGAGCCACAAACAAAATAATGTATTTTATGGGAAAAAACTATTAAACTCGCGACACTGTCACCGTTACCGACACCTCTGTTGAAGTGAAATCATCTTTAGGCGCGTTGGGCATTTTTTGAGATGGGAAAGAACATTTGAACTCGCGACACTGTTACCGTTACCGTTACCGTTATAACATCGTAACATCTCTGTATATAAGTATATAAATGTCACATCTGTCAGCACCTCAGTGTGCCACTGTTTTTTTATGGAAAACGAGCATACGGGTCACCTGATATAAAGCGACTACCGCCCCCCATGAACGCCTGCGACTCGATTATCGTAAACTCTAAAGATTCAAGTGCGTTGTTACCCCTAATGTGCCCTTCCCTCAGAATTAAGGGGTCCAGAGGCCGATAATCTTACTCATTTATGAAAAGCGACGAAAAAAAATATTTATTTTTATTATTATATATTACATATATATATTTTATTTACTACTTGATAGTAGTAGGAGTAACTGATTTTTATTTATTTTATTTTTAATTTCGTGCACTTATAGGTATTAAGTTATTACTGATCAGACCTCTTCAGCGATGTAGGAATCACGGAAGGCAATGAAAAAAAAAACTGTAAAGAAGATGATTTAAACTCTTCCTATCTCCTCTTGCCACCTGGTTTCATGTAATCCTCAACTTGTAAAAAAAAGGAGTTTTTATTATTTCCTGGAAATATTTTTTTCCATAAAATAAATCTTAATCGCAGGAAAGTGATAAATAAGGGCGAGACCCCGCATGTTGAGTAAATAGATATTTACTCATGATATAAAAATATATATTAAGAAAAAAAATATATATATATTAAGTTATTACTGATCAGACCTCTTCCTCTGTCCTAACTTTTTTCTGTGCACGTCCAAGGTTCGTAATGGTTCCGTATTTGAGTATTTTTAAGACCATTAATGTGATGCAATAAATGATTGAGTATTAGGAATAAAAAAGAAACAAAGTTTATGAATTGATACCAACCTGGAGCGTAACCTTAAAAGGCTCGAGATCTCGGGCCCTTTCCTCCAATATTCTGATAGCTGGTAGTGCAAACTCCTCTCCCCTTAGACCTCTCGACTCCTGAGCGCCGAGGAACCACACGTAGTACGATGCCTTCTTTATGTCTTTCTTTAAACGTAGCGCCATCTTGGAGGCTTATGTCATTGTTGGTTTACTGTGGACAAAAGAAAACATGGATCAATTATTGTGTATTTCACAAGTTCTTTTAAACGACTCCACTTCACCATGACTGCACGGATGGCGTGGTGGTTTAAGTGAACACCACATCGCTTCCTACTGCGCTGAGTGTTGTGGGCTCGATCCCCACATGGGCCGACACTTTGTGTGATCCACAAATTGTTGTTATGAGTCTGGGTGTTCTTTATGTCCGTTTCATGTATGTTTGTAAAGTCCCCTAACACAAGATATATTACTAGTGCGGGAGTTATCTTTTAAAGAAATAAAATGTTCGTTTACAGGTTTGAATTCCTTCACGATCTTCAACATCAGTATCGAACAGAAACATCTATAAACAAACCCTATCAACATTCGCTACGCACAATCAGATCAGATAATTAAATTTCCAGTGTTGTGCGCCAATATTTTGAATTCAAAGCCAGTTGATTTTAAAATTCAGCATCTGTAACCATGTTTGGTACCTACTTGACAAATTGCACAGATTATATTCTGCACACGTAACTGATTACGAAATTTTAGGTTTTATTTCTTATCAGCATCAACTGCATTAACTAATCCACAGGACGAAGGAGGTTTAGGCCCACTATACTACGCTAGCGAGTTCTGTTCTCCTGCAGACTGTACTCCCTTATTCGGCTCTTACGACACCTACTTGATAAGTCGAGGTGGCGACACTCTGTATTCTTTTTCCGTCACCACACTCAGAGCTAGTTATATTACTTACCTTTTCCAGATATTACTATTAAACTATTTGGCCTAAATTTCCATTCGTTTATCTTTAACATTTCCTGTTATCTACATTATATACATGTCTATATTAAAAATTTAAAATTGACAAGTTTATTTGTTTGGTTGGACGCGCTAATCTTAGGACCTACCGGTTTAAATTGAAAAAATCTTTTAGTGTTGGATAGCCCATTTATCGAAGAAGGCGTTTTGCCTAGCCTCAGTCTGAAAATACTGCAAAAAACAGAGAACCTTTTGAGAGGCACTGACAAAGTTGCGTGGACCAGCTGGTGTATAATAATAATAATAATAATAATAAATCTCTTTATTGTACACCAGGTATAAATATATATGTATGTGTATGTATAAAAGAAATATATACATACATATATGTATGTAGCCGTGAGTTATATACATCATTTTATGGTATCTTATTATGGTAATCAGTTGGGTACATACTTGTTTTTTATCTATATAGTTAAACAGCTTGTTAAGAAGTTCAAACAAACTATTGAACCACACACTAGGCAATCTTTTAATCTTGGATGTGTTAGATAAAAGACGCAAGATTAATATCAAAGGCTATACAGATAAAGGTTATTAAGTAGTGAACACACATAATTAACTCCTAAAAAAGTAGGTACAACACTTGGATATCTAGAACATGACAAATTCTAAAAAGCTGTATTAATTAATTCTATTTTCCATCTTCAGTTAAATACTTCCTTCCAATTTAAAGTCTCTCTAATCTGCTTAAAAAGACAACTCCCGCCTTTACAACATACATGAAACGGACACAAAGAACACAAGGGTTAGACCAACCCATACAGGGTTTTTCTAACCCTGTATGGGTTGGTCTAACCCGTATCTAACTAATTTAATTAATTAAATAGTTATTGAACTTGATTCCCAATTGATGAGGATATCACAAAAATTTCAGGAGAATTGAGAAACATGTTTTAAAAGAAAGAGCGTTTTTACATCGATTTAAATTTACATTTATTTTACTCAAAGAAAAATAATTGCAGAAACTAAAATACCCAAAAGCAAATTTAAGTTTTTTCAAACATGTCATTTTAGTATAATTTTAGTCAAATTTAAATATAATTCATTTTAACTGTTTATTTCTTATGTTTACATTCATAATAATGTACCTCTAAAGCACAGTTTTTCTACGTTGGCTATATGGACAAACGACCAGACGGGTACCTTTTTTTTATGTCTGTGCGGAAATCCCCTCGGATACTACCCACTGGACCGAACCGACCAAAAACCGCACGCCGACTCGGGTACCAGTTGCCGGGAACCAGGTATACCCTAGAAAAGAAATCCCTGGTACCCCGACGTACCTCGGGCACATCTACTATCTACGTGTAGGTGACCCCCTCCTGTGTGGGAACCCCTATGTCCCCTTTGTGCTCCCGAAAGGGTGCGCGCGCTCCGCAGCGGTCACCTGACGCTAGGGCACTACAACTGCCGATGAACACCTAAACCACAAGGGTCACAAGTGCGTTTAATCATTCAATGATCTTGTTTTTTTCACCTAAATACACACGAATAGATACTAAATAAACCACACGATACGAAACAATACTTTCCACAAACTTTAATTTCATCACGTAAATTTATTGTTTATAAGACATTTATTTGTCACTGGTCACCAAATTCTGTGTATAGTTTATACTTATCTAATAATCACTTAACAACAGTCATTTATTATAGGTATTATTTATTTATTAAGTTTTTACCTCCACTTTCCTACACTTGTGAATTTTGGTTCCCACGTTTTGACAAATGTTCTATAACTGATCAGACTAATCACTGATCTTGTTTAAACACAATATTTTTGTCATAGCTTTTTTGTAGGGTTTCAATAGTAATCAAATTAAGAACAAGTATAGTTTTGCTGTGTTCATTACTGTGTAAAAAATTGATAGTGACCGCAGGACGCGTGGTTCAAGTGAATCAGAGGGAGTAATGGGTATGGACAAATCTGAAGATATGTAAAACCCATGTAACTCTTTATGAAAAAACAGTAGTGGAAATACTTTGAGTAAATTAGATTTTGACTTTTGTATCTATCAGCAGGGTATCATGAATCAAATGTTGCCCAACTTGAAAACTGTCTATATGCTGTGATATGCTGGATATCTGATTTAAAAAAAAAGGCTCTATAATATCGCTTTTTATATGACCGATATGATACTCATTCACACATTTAGCTTAACAGTAAGTGGTAGTTGTATATCATACATTACCGGGGAGCATTTCCATCATCAATCAAAGAGCCAAAACCGTTTCGCAATGAAATGGAGGAGTACGTAAAACAGAAGCTCGAGTGATCAAGGACAAAGAAGTAGTAAACTCTTTGCACCGATCCTTAAATAAATTTGGTCCGTGTGGTGACGGATGGTCCGTGTGGTGACGGATTATGTCGATGACGATGACCACTCCTATTGATCACGAGGGTGTCGTAAGAGCCGACTAAAGGCGTAAACTACGTAGGACAACAGCTCTGCAAAAAGAAGGAAAACTTGAAACAAACCCTATACCAACACGTCTAGCTAGCGTGGTATAGTAGGCCAAAACCTCCTTTCTAAGGAGAGGCCTATGTCCAGCAGTGGATTAGTAAAGGCTGCTGACGATGACGTAAAAGAGGAGCTCGATTGATCAAGGACAAAGAAGAAGTAAACTCATTGCACCGATCCTTAAATAAATTTGTTATAAGTGCAGGAAGATCTTGATGGCTTATAACTGCCGCAACATCACACCTAACTCCTCCACTTTAGCACCTTACTAATTAAAATATTCTGCAATTTGACGGGCCTGTTGGTCGAGTGGTTAGTGCCCCTGACTGCTAAGCCGGAGGTCGTGGGTTCGATTCCCACCCAGGACAAATATTGTGTGATGAGCATGATCATTTGTTCAGTGTATGGGTGTAATTTATCTATAATATGTATGTATTTAAAAATATATAAGTATGTTTATCAGCAGTTTGGTCACCATAGCACAGGCTCTGCCTAGTTTGGGATCAGACGGCCGTGTGTGAAATGTGTGAGCTATATTATTATTATTATTAATTTGCAGTATTGTCATCACCCTTAATTAAATATTAACCCACTGAGATTAACCCAAACCACATATTAGTAATGATAATGGTGGTGGGCTTACAATTAAACCATAAACAATGAAACAATTTCATCTTAATAACAAACATTACAAGAGATGAAATTAAGGGACGCACACACGCGCTACTTTTAACGTCGACGACTACATCTCTGCATGGATTTTGATTACTCCAGCAATTTGATCACTGCAGCAAAATGTGTATCTGTTTATCTGTATGTGACAGAAGTTTTGCTCGACTTTAATTCTTCAGTTTTTGATTAATGACTCTGTCGTGCAACCACAATTTCGCCATTGTCATATACCCGAAGGTCAAGCTATTAAAGGATTTCATGTAGAACTATTCTACTATAAATATTTGACTACACGGATGGCGTAGGGGTTCAGAGTCACCTCGCCGCCTACTAGTGCACTGAGTGTTATGAGATCCCCACATGAGACATTACTTTGTGTGATTCACCAACTATTGCTCTGAGTCTGGCTGTTCTTTGTGTCTATTTGATGTATGTTTCTAAAGTCCCCCGCAACACAGAATCTATTCCTGGTGCGGGAGTTGTCTGAGTAGAGAAATATATATTTTTTTCGTAATTACGAGCGATCGCAGACTTTATAAGTATCTCGTGCACATCAACAGCCTATAGCAGTCCACTGCTGGACGTAGACCTCTCCTTAGAAAGGAGGTTTGGGCCTACTATACCACGCTGGCCAGACGGGTTGGTATAGGGTTTGTTTCATGTTTTCCTTCTTTTTGCAGTGCTGTTGTCCTGCGTAGTTTGCTCCCTTAGTCGGCTCTTACGACACCCACGGGATGAATAGGGGTGGTGACATTCCGTATTCCTATCTCGTGTGCGATGCCCCTAAAAGGCACAGAAAAGTAAACTATAAAATTTATCTCGCTCGATTGCAGAACACAACCTTGTGTTAGTTATAATTGTAAATGAGCACACGAGCAGATTGACATAGCGATATTGAGTAATAGAACAATTGACTTTACTTCGTTGTAAGACTGTTGGTTCGTGATACACGTGATGCTAGAAGGCGCGAAAGAAATAAGTTTCTATTTAATTCTGCACACGTAAAGTGGTAAAAAAGCTGAT